TGTGTGTGTGTGCGCGCGCGCGCGCGCGCGCGCGCCCTGCCGGGCCTCATCCCCGGGTGGCTGTCAGGGTTATGTGCTCTCTGCCCTGCTTTTCTGGAACACCAGGTGCCCAGGGCCTCCCGAGGACAGGCTTCCAGGAGGACACATGTGGGGATCATGTTACTGTTTGGGCGCTTGGTTTTTAGAAGCTTACAGACTCGAGGATGGCATCCAAGTCAGCTGTTCCCAGGGCAGAGTGAAGCCCCGGCTTTCCTCTGAGAAAGGCTAATGCAGATCCCACTTCCAACGGGAAAACAACTCATGACTTGTGGCCTCAGTCCACCCCAGTCTATACATTCATGGCAACGGCCGTCTTGCCATTGTTGCAAGTGCATGTCGTCAGGACGGCCTTGCCTGGGGTTCTTCCCCTGTGCTTCCCACCCTGGCTTGACCCAGCCCCAGGCCACAGCCTGAGCCACCTGGAATCCACGATGGGGGAGTCACCCAGGACCTCCTGTGGCGCCTCTCTGGAAAGGCACCCTCAGCCACGCCCAGAACCTCCCATGGCTAGTACGGCTTCCCTGGGCAGACCTCCAAGCTCATAGTCACTTGCCTCCCTGGAGATTTGCCTGGTTTACCAACAGGAGGGAACAGTGGTCAGCACACACACCCTCACCCAAGTCCCCTCTGTTCCTCTTAGCAAGCCTCCACCCCTCAGCCAGTCTTTGGGGAGCTCAAGGCTTCTGTGGTACCAAATGTCCCAGCCACAGGGCCTTGTCAGTTGCTGCTCTTCTCCCACCCTCCATCTCCTGGCACAGGTACAGGCTGTAGTGACGCCGGCATGGTGGCAGCCTCAAAGGCATCCCTTTCTTCCCCGAGAGAGATGGAGTGGAGAGGACCTATCATGGTCTCCTGGGCCCAGCCCAGCAGCCTAGCCATGCAGGACCATAACCCAGAAGCTTCCCTCCTTCATTCAGTCCATCAGGGAGCCCTACCAGTTTGACCTCCCCAGTGAATCCTCCGTCCTTCCGCTTCTGTCTCCACTGCCCTAGTCCAAGCTGCCATCATTTCTTGCCTAGACTTCTGCATTAGCCTCCGGCTGAGGACAACATTAGCACACCCGAGACCTGTGCCTGCTGGAATGATGTCAGGGAGGAGCCATATTCTAACCCCCACCCCGCCCTCTTCCAGTGCTTTCCTTGCTTCCGTTCTTCTGCCTCTTCCTACCATCCATTCCCCCACACGCCCAGCATCATCTTTTAAAGACATAATTTAGATCATGCCACTCCCCTACTTAAAACTGTCTAATGGCTTTCTATTGCAAGTAAAATCAAATCAAACGCTTGCCCGCGGCCTAGAAGGACTGCCATCTTCTTCAACCTTATCATGTTTGACTCCCTCACCCCACTAGCTTTCCTGTGGACAGCCATCTGGCTTTCTATTCCTCCAACCCGCCAAGTCCATTTCTGCCTCAAGGTCTTTGCACTTCCTTTTCTCTCTGCCTGGACGTTTCTTCTCCACCTGTCCCATGCTGGCTCCAGTTCATCATTCAGGTCCCAGCTGAATGTCCCAGCCTGGGAGAGACCTTCCCTTATCAGTGTATCCGAAGGAACCACCCTCTTCCAAGCTTCTTTGTCCCATTACCATATTCTAGTGTCATGATTTAGTTTTCACCAGCTATCTTGGTTATATCTTTGTTTCCTGGTTTATTTTCTGTTCCCTGCAGTAGAATGTAAGCTCCATGAGAGCTGGACTGGGTCTGTCCTTATCACCTCTCTAGGTCCAGTGCCAAGGTCAGTGCCCGCATGGTCTGGCCACTCAATAACTAGATGCTGGATGAATTGCTTTAAAACACAGTGCACTTGTTCACCTCATTTTGAATTTTATCGTTGTCCTTTGGTGACCTCCTAGGAATCCAGGGCGGCGCTGTCCAGTCAGCAATCTTCTCGTTGGTGGATTTCTCTTTCCTTTCCTGACCTGGTTGCCTTGTCTAAGTCCAAAGCCCTCCTTCACCACCGATTGCCCCTGAGATCTGTGCCCCTGACTCAGTCGATTGCCCCTGTCCTGTGAGCACCACTGGATTCTTATGGAAGACAGACTCCACACCTGTGTGTCGTCTGCTGCCCGTGTTGGTGTGGGAGCTGCCAGGGCAGAACCTGGTTCTTGGTCAGGGTGTGCCAGGCCAGTGGGCAGTGGTTGTTTGCTCCCTGTGCCCCTTCCCCATGCTTCCCTGTGTGCCCCTCACCCCCACCCACACACAACCATTCCCAGCCCAAATGGTGGTCTGGTCTGGCCTGTGCTCACAGGCCTCTGGGCCTTTGTTCTGGGTGAGGCCAGTTCGGTTCTGGCTTCAGTTGTTTACCCTTCAAGCTCAGCTCCAGCTGGAGTCTATGGTGGTCACTGGCTGATCTAGGATGCCCTCCCAGGTGTGACTGACTCCAGCCCCCAGATTCTCCAAGTCCCAACTTGGGACATCATCCAGGGGGCATGCAAAGGCCAGTCCTTGTTTTGGAAGGGGCCAGATAACCGAGGACAGGGAAAGTCTGAGTCTCCAGCCAGGCAAGAACCAGGTACAGGAAGTGGCATCTATTTATAGGCCAGCAAGTCCATTCTAGCGGCAGGTGATAAGTGAACAGTTTAATAACATGTTGCCCTCTCCCACCCCCACCCCAGGGTTGGGGGTGCTGCATTCACCGCACACGTCCCTGCGCTGTGATTGGCTGACCCTGCCTGGGCTGGCATCCAGGATGGCGGAGCTCCAGGTTGAGCAGAGCTGCTGGGGGCAGAGGGGGACAGGGCAAGGCCAGTGGGGGAGGCCATCACAGGCGCCAGCTTTGGCTCCCTGCATGTGGGTGATGAAGGAGGTGCTAGGCTCAAGTAGGGGCTGAGCATATGAGCTCAGTCCAGGGTGTGGGGACATTCTGCTCTGGGGCGGCAGGAGAGGTGGCCGGAGAGAACGCTGGGGGATGGTGCAGGGGGTGGGGGGAGGCAGACAGCTGGGGCGGCCCAGGGGGCAATCAGACCTCCCTGGGTAGAACCTGGGAGGAGCCCTGCTGGCCTGCCCAGCCCCGGCAGACTCTGCTCCTGCCCTGTCCCCACCTCTCTTTACCATTCTTTGCCCTCCACAGGGAGCTTTCTCTCCTTTTGTAGGCTCCCTGGCTTTGGATAATCTGGGGTGGTCCCTCCCTGTGGGTAGGCCTTTTCCCCCTCCCCTCTCCTCCCCTTCCCTCTCCTCCCCTTCCCTCTCCTCCCCTGTCCCTCCCCCACTACCCATGCACCTTGTCCTCCTTCTCTTGCTCATTGCATGGGCTTGATGGACACACCAACCCTGGAGCTAATGATGCGTGTGAGGGGCCAGCCAAGTGGTTGTCCCAACACCAGCCCAGGGAACAGAAATGCCAGCTCTAGAAACTGACTTCAGCCTCCTAGAGATTCCTTCCTTCACTTTCGTGATGATCCCTGATGTGCCAGGCACTTTGCTGGGGACACACTGGGGACCAAGAAATTCACAGTCCCTGCCCTCATCCAGCTGACAAGGCAGGGAGACAGTGACAGCTGGAGGTCAGGGGCTAGCTGGACACCAAGATGATGGAGTCCTGGGGAGAGGGGAGGGTGGATGTCAGAGCACAGGGGACAACACAGAGTGGCTCCTGGCTGGCCTTCTGGGAGGTCACTGAGCCCCTGAAAGTGTAAGGAAATTCTGTGCATGTGCTTTATTCTGGGCCCAGAGCAGACAGCTTCATCGGATTCTCCAAGGAGTTTGTGCTGGTTATTCTCAGTTTGGACCTGACCCTCCCTGCTGCAGCCAGGCTTCTCTGTCCTTCTCTGCTGTGCTCTGACCAGGGAGACCCACCCTGTGGACTCCCTTGCCTGGGCTCCTTCAGTGTCTGGTTGGCTTGGGCTGGGAGGCATTGGCAGGAGGTCAGAGGGAGAAGGAGAGATTTGCCTCTCCTGCAGAGGTGCCCAATCCTAGCTGCAGCTCTAGCCTGCCCCGGCCGTGGGGTCTCACCAGCTTCTGTACCCCGGCTCCCACCTCCTCCCCTTCAGGCTGAGGGGTGGTAGCTGCCTCCTGCTGGCACCAGTCTCTGCGTATATCAACATGGCTTATTGGTCCTTTAATTAGTCCCTTTATCGTGCTCCCTTCTCAGGCCCAGCTGAGGGGGCTTGTGTCCTGTTTGATACATCCCATGACTCATAAGCCAATAAAGATGACATAAGAATAGACCACCCAGGACTCACTCCTTTACAGTCTAGGAAAATGAGGCCCAGAGAGACTTGCCCAAGGTTGCCCCAAGGCTGATGCCAAGTCCAGGGCGGCCTCTCACCTGGGCAGTAGCAGCGCAGTACCCCAGGCTGAATCAAGGACGCAGGCACTGAGATCTGGTCGAACAGGCAGCTGTAGTTATTGCTGGCTTCTTGCCACGGGCCTGTGATCAGGACCTTCACTCCTCCCTGGAGGGAACAGACATGAGAGTAAGCCCTCCCCCCATGCAGCACCTACACTGCCCAAATGGTGGTCTGCACCCCTCCCCCAACCCAGTGCTTATAAAACATGCAGATTCCTGGGCCACAGCCTGCAGATTCCAATATGGCTTGACTTTTGAGGACCACCACTCCAGCGATGCAGACAGGAGGAGGGGTCCTGCAGCCTGGCCCTCTGCCCACTGGCCCCCAGATGCTCCTGGCCCTTCCTACGCTGGTGCCCAGCAGGCGTCTGCTGTTCTGACCCCTGCCCCTCTCCGATGTCATTTTCAGTTCCAGGCAGGAGGGAACACAGTTTTCCAAGCCTTTTTAGCCCATGGAGCACCTGAGGACTGGCTGGGTGGGCCTTTGGAAGGATGGGAAGGGAAAGGGGGGATTTGCTCTGTGTCCTTTGCCTGTGGACGGGTTGAGGGAACTCCGAGTTTTGCAACAAGCTCCAGCATCTGAGCTTTGCCCCAGGGACATGAGGTTCTGGTGGGGAAATGAAGGGGGTGCTGGGGACAGAGCAAGGGAGGAGACTTGGTAGGGAAGGGGCGGATGAAGAAAGCGATAAGAAAGACTGCAGAATCAGAAAATGGCAGAGAAGGGCTCAGTGGTGGAGGACTCAGAGCTGGCCCTGGGTGCTCAGAGTTTGGGGCTCAGAGCTGGGAGTTGGGGTGGGTGGGGACTGAGCATGGGGCCCTCCCTGCCTCTGTGCTAAGCCATTGAGGGCACTTGCATCTGTGCTGCCACCTACACAGCCAGACGGGCCTCCCCGGTCCCCCCTCATGCAAGCTACTGACACATGCAGTTGGGCTGGGGCTGGGGCTGCTCTCTTGGGGCCAGGGAGGGGACCTCAGGTGACTTTTCTCCATTCAATGGGGAGAGGTTCACCCACAGGGACCCCGAGGTGCCTGGATACAGACAGCATGGAAAAGCCTTGCACTCCCTGACCTCCTACTTAGACCAGCCCTGGGGAGGGGGTGTGTGG